AAGTGGGCAGACTTTTGGTTTGACAACCAAACCTATAAAGAAAACACCTATTCAGACCTTCATGAAGTTTTATTAAACAAAAAGAAACCTCTTGCTACATTTACAAGTCATTGGAATCCAGAACCATCAGCAATCAACATTCCCAGAAGTAATCAATGTGCTGAAAGAGCAATTAAAGTAATGGAGGAGCTTTATAGATTGTGTAGAAATAAAGACAATCTTCCACTTCGTTTCATTTTGTCTAATAAACAATAACTGTATGTATTTAAATTGTATAAAATGTTTTTTCCTGCATTGAATATAACACTATGCCATGTATTAATTGTTAGAATAAATTATGTTTTTTTATAGAATCATATGAATGAACATGTTTGCAAATAGAAATGATTTTGGTTATTAATTTTTTTAAAACCTTTTTAAATCTTAATGTGCTTTGGGGCGTGACATCGTGAAAGTATTAATATTTTCGCATTTTATGCGTAAAAACTCATCCATTTTTGGGCCAGGGAAATTTTTTTTTAAAAAGTCATATCCCTAATATATATATATATATATATATATATATATATATATATATATATATATATATATATATATATATATATATATATACATATATAAAGGCCTCAACGGGAGTAAATGAGTGTGAGAGCAGAGAAAAGCTCTCCTAAAACAAACATGGCGAGCTCTGCGAACTGCTTCTCTAAACAGCTTCTTACAAGAATTTTAGATTTTTGGCACAAGCTATCTGTTATTCATTTAAAAAATTACTCAATAAATACAAAATTTTGTTTAATACTTGTTACAAGCATATATTTATAACGTCAATATTACAAGGATATATACATAACATGCGCCATTTATTATGCTGTAAAAATGACTTTGTGTTTTTTATTTTAGTTTTGGAAATTAGAATTGGATTTCATCAGAGTTTTTGAAAATAGGAATAACAGATGCCATTTTTCAACAGGCAGGAAAACAAGACTCTTTATCAAGATATTATCGAATAGTTTTGAGGAAATTGAAGAGAGTTCTGGAGTAAAATTTTGTAAGACTTGAAGACTACTTCTGGAGAAGACTACTTCTAGGGAACAATTTTGTAAGACAGGAATGTTATCTGAACCACAAGCCATGGAAAAGTTCAATTGGAACATGACTTTAGCAAAAAAAGCTGGAGTGATATGAATGTCTAACAATGGGTTAACCTGTTAAATTAGAATGAAAGGAAGAGAATGGCCATAAGAGTCAAGTTAGAAAAAAAGTTCTTTACAAATAGTTCTGCCCAATCCTTGGGAGAGTTAATAAGATCAGTTCCATGAACATTTGTTAACAACAATTGTTAAGATCAGTTCCATGAACATTTGCTCTTTTTTACATCAATTTCTTGCAGTAGCAAATAACCATTTGTTCTCAAGAGTTGTTCTTTTTAAAAAAATGAAAAAAATAATTATGATTAGATATAGCAGCAGCAAAATGGGGTGAAAACCATGAGGCTAGACTTGGAACTGACGAGAATGAATAAAAGCATTCATTCCTGCTTGAATCTAGGAAGTTACATAGGAGGCGCATTTTTCAGCTGAAAGGGAAAAGACATTATTATAAGGAGCGTCATAAAGAATATCACCAAAAAAATCCTTTAGGGTAGTAGTAAGTAGAGTGATGACAGGGTGAGTCCGAAAAAGAAGTATGAGATGAAAGATTTAAAGAAATCATTGGATGTTCAGAACCACCTAAGGGAAAAAAAAGAGAAACTGAACACAAGCTAGGATTAGAGACCAAACAGAAATCAAGGAATGAAGATAAATGATTAGGGTTGTTAGGAAAACGAGTCACAAAGTTAACTATTTGAGTAAAAGATTGAGAAATGCAGAAGTGATGAGCTTTAATGCGAGCAGTGTCAGCGGTGTTAGAGCCAAGCCATTCAGTGTGATGAGCATTAAGGTCATCAATAACAACAATATTGGCAGAGGGGTAAAAAGAAAGAGCATTTGATCAGAAATATTACCTAAAAGAGTGCAGTCTTTGAAAGAGGGAGAACGTTAACGAACAAAGAAAAGGTGTAGAGTGAAGAGATGCTAAACGGAAGCACATAAAAGAATGGTCAAAAGATTTGAGCCTGATTTCACAACAAATAGGTGAACTGATGCGTATGTATACTCCTTAGCCAAGCATGTGACTATTGGAGTCTTTGCGAATCAAAGGAGTACCCATCAATACTGAGATTTTGCTAAACTAAACAGCAGGCTTGGTCGGGAAGCAGGAGCGATCGGTCTCGATTGCTGACCACGTAAATAATATTTAGTTGCGAAAAGCTGGCCAGATTTTTTAGTCGTTTTGAGAACATTTTAAAAAGCAAAAAAAAAAAGCGACCAAGATTAATTGGACCGATGAGAGACAATTACAAAAGCGATGTTTTTTATATAAAGTAACAACTTATGATTGTTTAAAAGGGAAACAAATATTCTTTATTTAACTAAGTTTGCAAGTTTTAATTTTACTTAAGCTTAATTTATTTTATAAATAAAAAAGTTAACTTTTTTAATACCTATTTTATGTTTCGCAAAGTTTGAAAAGTTTAATATATTTGAAGCGATTCTTCTTAGTAAGATAAACAAATGAAATAATTAAATCATTGAATTACTATAGGAATTAAATTATTGAGATAGAAATCAACTAAAAAGTTTAAAAATACTTAATGACCAGGAAGCGAAACTGCTTCACAATATCGCTGATGTTTAGTGAGTGGGCATTTTAATTTTAATTAGTATTTAAAGCAGAAAAAAGTATAACGAGTTTTAAAAATGGCAACTTAAACTAAAATAGTTAGAGTTAGTAAACCAATATCTAGAAAATTTTCTTTATATCTAATTATTTGCTATTATATATTTGTGTTCTGTCATGACCTCAGGCGCGATGCTTGTTCATCCGCGAGTTACTTTGTATGCGTTGTTTGTGTTTAGTAACCAGAAACTTCTTATATGTTTGTTACATAATTAGTTTTATTAACTTATAACTTCATTGAAAACGCAATTATTTTTGTAAGTCTTTGTTTAAATCATAAAAATTGCTTTAAAAAATACATTACGATAAAAACAAATACACAAAATTACATTTACATAAAGAATACAATCTCTTTTAAAATAAAAAATAAAAATATACTAATAAAATCTATGCTTTATAATAAACTTTTAAAATTTTAACAATTTAATTAATATATATTTAAAACATTTATTTATGTAAACAAATAATATATATTCTTAAAACAATGCTAGAAATCTCAAAACGTAACAAATCATGAATAATACAATTTCTAAAACATTTTAACAGAATACTCTAGAACTTTATTTCGCTTAATCAGCGTATTTTTTGAACCAATAGAATTAGTTTGTTCGTTAATTTGGCAGGTTTTTAGTGTTCGTAAATATTCTTTTTATTCTTTCGCACAAAGATGTTTTGAGAACATTCAATTTTTTTATGTTTCCATGTATGTCCGTAAAACAAAAATTCTTTGTTTCGTACATAAACTCAAATGTTCTCAAAACGACTAAAAAACCTGGCCAGTTTTATGCAACTAAATATAATTTCCGTGGTCAGTATTCGGGAGTGATCGCTCCCGCTTCCCGACCAAGCCTGAAACAGCTGTGTAAATAACACTATTGTTTCATATATTTTTAAGTTATAATACTTTATAACAAAAAAACAAATTAAAAATAATACAAAAAAACACAGTGACGCGTGAAATGGAATTTTACCAACTTGCGTAAGTTTACGTACCGCAACAGTTTGCCTTAGCACCAATTTCTCGTCGAGAACTTGGTGATAAGGCAAACCTGTCTTCTCGTTCTTGCCATTTTTATATATATATTATAAATTTTGAGCAGCCGTGGCGCAGTGGTTAGAGTTCTGGCTCAAAACCCAGAGGTCCGAGGTTCGACGCCAGCTCTAGCCCAATAAGTGACATTGGTACGAAAGGAGGTGTGAACTTTCTATTAAATGCTCTCCCGCAGTGCTCTATGATAAGACCGTAAGGACTACTGGGAACACCTAAATACATACAAAAAAAAAAAAAAAAAAAAAAAAAAAAAAAGATCAGATAAAGGAATAGTAGAATTTAAATTAGTCTCACTAAGAGCAAGCAAGTCTTGTGAATACTACCTGTACTATACTACAAAAGCAAACATTACTGAAGATATACTGATATAGATAGAGACATATAAGATAGAGCACAACAACTAATCACCTGCAACACTTTTCTGATTGACAAATCTTGATGGGATTTTGCTCTAAAATAGCTGATTTATTATCTTAAATCTACCTCAGTCTATATATTTATTTCAGATAAACTCAATAATGAAACTATGAATATGGTTTGGCACAAACACAAACCAATCCAACATTCCAATAAACTTGCCTAATGCTTCAGTCTAAAACAGCAATTTTTATGTTTGTATCACGCAATAAAAGATTGTTATCAAGATTCGTTTTTTGCTGGAAAAATTCTATCAAGTTACTTGCTTACACAACTTAATTTTGTACTGTTTATAAAAGCTCTTTTCTCCAAATGTGTTTTAGCACAAATCATAATTCACAAGCTTTATTTTAGGGTTGTTACAATGTTTTGGTATTTCATTTTTATTTTGCTTGCTTGTTTAAATATTGAAACAAACTTCATACCAGTAGATTGTAATAAGGGTTGTTTGAATGTTCAGAAAATTTATTTTTTCTTAAAAAACGACCCATGTAAAATTATAATAAAGCAAAAGGAAAATATTTCTATCATTAAGAATGAGAAGTAAATAAAATTTTACCAGCTGAGATTAAATAATTTTTATCACTGATTGCATGTAAAATAAACCCATTATACCAAATCGTAAAACACATAACATGTTATAAAAAAGCTAAATTAGCAATAATTCAATAAGGCCAAAACAAATATTTTTTTAAATATAGCAAATTTATATTTTTTTGCAAACTAGGAAAAAAGGTTTTCAATAACTCAC